GTAAAAAAAAAATACTAAAATAGCTCAAAGTATGAGACATTAGGGTCATTTGGTACCCGCTTTGTCAATTTGTTATAAACTCTCAATATTGTACAATCAAGCTATATTATTTGTTTTACCTATCGCGTTTTTTCCGTGGCTGGGCTGAAAATCTATAATTACGTCATACGTGCATGTAAAATTTCCTAAATAAATATATTTTATACGAATATCAATCCAATTTTATAAATATTATTTTTGATTATGATTATGAAGTGAAAAATGTCAAAATACCTAGGCGTATTTGTTTATGAGTTCAATTAAATAATAACTGGGTAGACAATATTATCTCAGTCAAGACTCAAGTAGCTTGCCCACTGGATATATTTTATCATACATATTATTACTCCATAATTCAATAATAATCGACTCGGCCGTCGAAACTATTTTTATCATTGAGACATAGACCTTCCAAAAATCAAAAGTCTATGCTATTTATAAACAACAAAAACCTAATATTAAATTGATGTTTATCGTTCTTTTTGTTTTGTATCATAATAAAATATTAGATAACATTTTGTATGGTGCTCTTCTGCCAGTTGTGGATTTGCTTGGAGTGCGTTGTGCGTATTTATATTGATTATTGCTTTGTCTGGTATCCAGTGATCAGTGATAATTTTGTGGTCATTACTTATTATTATTGCATACCTACTAAGTGCCGTACCAGAACGTATTTTCTTGTTGTAACTTGTAATGACTGTTTTTTATCTTAAGTTGTACGAATTTTACCATTACGATAATTATTTTTTGGTTATATAACTTAATATTTTTATTTAAAATAATAAGTACTAATGTCTAGTATTTGTGATTCGATTTGTGTGTGCGGAAAAAAACGAAAGAGTCTAAATTTAACAAATTGGAACCGTCATTTGAACTCATGCTCTGTGGCCAAATTAAAGACTAAAAAAATTTGTTCTGGATCTTTCAAGTTATTTGCTTAAAAAAGACAAAAATAAGTCGCTGAACACAAATTCTTTCAAAAAAACTTTGTATTATTTTAATTAATGAATTTTACATTTTTTTTACAACTACACATTTTATTCCGGTTTAATATATCCCCATTTAAACTGTCACTTATTAACATTTAAATTATTGTCAATTTCAATTTTATTATGTGACTAGAACTAGCGACTAGCGTAGGTATAACCCCTAACGAATTTTGTTGATTATTTCTTGAAATAAAAACTTTTTAAAAACTATTTTTCTACATAATATTAATAAGTATACTGTATATAATAATTTAAAATGAAATTATTTTTTTGTTTAAAAAATATTGTATTAATAAAAAAAAATAATATGTATTCATACCTATTAATAAAAAATATTAGGTATTTTTACATGTATCAAGTGCTAGCAAATACTGTAGGTACCTACATAGTATTATATTATCTGCATGGGCTCCCATAGATAGAAATTCAGAGGGGGGGGGGAACCAGGTAAAACTTAAAATTCTTCAACTTGTATCATCCAAAAATGAATTATTAATTTATATAAATTTGTATACTACCTATTAAATATATCCGTAAATATATTACTATTAAATAAGAATTAGGTGATCTATTGATCTATTAAATATACAATTTATTTGATTTCATCATCAGTTAATACACATTGTAAATTAATTTTTTGATCCCAAACACATCATTTATAAAAATATTTTTATATTAATTTTCCTATACAAAAATAAATATAGGTACCTTATGGTAATTATTATTGATTGTTAAAAAATACTTAACACATAGCATAATAAAAGTACCAAGTTATTTGAATAAATAGTATTATAATAGGTTAAAAATAATGTTTATATATAATTTATATTTATTTATATTAAATAAATGTTTACATATTTTAATTAATTAATAATTAAAATATAAAATAATAAATAATAATAATTAAAATATTTTAAGTAGTTCAATGAAAGCATATTTTTTAAATATTAAATAGTAATAATAATGTACTAATTTTCAACTGAGTTGTTTTTTTTTTTTTTTATATAACTTGTAACTTGACAAGTTTTTAAAAAAGTAGTAACTTTTAACTTGAATTTTCCTCACAATGTTTAGATAAACTAAACTCAATGAGTTAAAAAAAATAGTAAACTGGTAAATGTTTTTATTAATTTATCTTTATTATTGTTATTGTTATTGTTAAGTTAAAATAGATGAAGTACATTGTGAAATAGGACACACTACACTGAATGAAAAACCAATTAACATTGAGTCTCCCTTCATTAGTAAGTATATTATAACATATTGTTTTGTTTGTCATTTGACGATTATTAACTACCTAATTAACTACAATTTTATTTATAACATATATTTTATTAAGTATAGGTGAACAATCTGAAAATAAATTTGAAGTTACAGTTGAGGACATGAAGAACAATGATCCAATTCTCATTGAGTCTTCTTTCATTGGTAAATACTAARTATAATATTATTAGTTTGCTTGATATTCGATTATGATTAACTAAATAACTACTATTTTATGTATAACATATTTTTTAAATTACAGATGAACAATGTGAGCATAAATTTGGAGCTACAGTTGAGGATATGAAGAATAATGTTCCAATTCACATCAAGTCTTCCATCACTGGTAAATATAATATTATTAGTTTAGTTGACATTTGTCAATTATTTCTTAATTATCTATAATTTATTTATTTTTAGATCTTCCTTCATTGGATTTTAGCAGTTATGATCCAATTAAATTTGTAAGGAAAAGTTTATCTATTGATGAAAAGCTGGTAATAATTTGTAAAGGCCCCTATCAGCCCAAGAAGCACGAACTGCCCGAAAAACATTTTCCTCAAAAATATGGTCATCGTTTTACCGAAGATAATTACTGGAGAAAACTTMCGGATGGTGATCGTGTACGTCGAAATTGGCTGAGCTACTCCATATCAAGTAACCGAATCTTTTGTTTGTACTGTATGTTTTTCGGTGATAAGCATGCTCAGAAAGGATGGATAGAAGATGGTTTTCAAGGTTGGAATAGACTAGGTGATATCGGTTGGCATGAGAAGACAAGTTGTCACATAAATGCATCAATAGTTGTTAAATTAAAACAAAACTCTGTAGCAATTTTGCCATTATTAGAAGAAAAAAAAGAGAAGAAGTTGCTATGAACAGAGAAGTAGTGAACACATTAATAGAAATAACACAATTTCTTGCGAAACATTCTCTTTCGTTTAGAGGCCATCGTGAAAATTGGTCTAATGTAAACAAAGGAAATTTTAAAGATTTAGCAGAACTAATAAGCAAATATTCTCCTTCAATGGCTTTACATATTGAAAAAATACAAAATAAAGGAAGAAAAGAAGTTAATTTTTTGACTTGGGAAAGGCAAAATCAATTAATTGATTCTGTGGCTTCATGTATCAAATCAGGAATTAATAAACAGTTATGCAAGACACGATTTTTTAGTATATCTATTGACACTACTTTTGATGTTTCCAAAAAAGAGCAAATTGCATTTATTKTTCGTTATGTTAATTTTGAAAAAGTAATTCCAGAAATCAATGAACGTCTTATTGCTTTAAAAGAATCATCTCAAACATCTGGAAAAATTCTTTTCACTGTTTTCGAAGAAATGTGTGTAGAAAATAATCTGAATTGGAAACATTTCTTAATAGGACAAAGCTATGATGGTGCGGCCAAGGATGCGTGGAGAATATAAGGGTCTCCAAGCCTATGTAAGTGCAGAAAATCCTGCAGCTATTTATACATGGTGTTATGCACACCGTTTGAATTTAATCGTTGTTCAGGGATCTAGTAGCTCACAAAATGCTATTGATTTATTTGGTAATTTGGAATCCTTATATGCAATTATTTCAAGCAGCAAAAAACGAGTTTCTTGGTTTGAAATTGCTCAGAAAATATATTATCCTAATCAACGAGTTCATCGTTTAAAACGCGTTGAGACTACTCGCTGGTCATCACTTTCTTCTGCATTAAATACAGTCATAAAAACAATTGATGCCGTTATTGATACCCTCGAAAAAATCCAACAAGATGAAGGACATACAGATTTCAAAACTGGAGCAAAAGCAAGTGGTTTGAGAGAATATTTTCTTTCTGAGCGATTTATTTTTACTGCATTTTTATATGTAGATATATTTTTAATTATTGATCCTTTAACAAAAATGTTGCAATCATTTAATGTTGATTTATTGGGTGCAATAAAAAGTATAGACTTAGTTATAGATAAAATTAAACAACTGCGTACTGACAATGCATTTACTGAATTTTTAAAAAAGAGTGAAAATTTTATTAAAAAATCGGAGTTGGAGTTTTCGCCATTGCATGTTCATCGGCCGAGAAAAAAAAAATTACCGGGTGAAGAAGTTGAAGATTATTCTATAAATGATCCTAAAAACGAATTTAAAATTAAAACATACTTTATTTCTTTAGACTCAATTATTACTGCTATTGATGAAAGATTTACTGCTAAATCTCAAAATTTACTAAAAGACATTTCTCTTTTTTCCGCAAAACGATTAAATGAAGTAAACCATGTAAATAGTTCTTTACCAATTGATGCTTTTACTACATTTTGTCAAATATATTCAAAATTTGTTCAGTTAGATGAATTTAAAAAAGAATATGTCCAATTTGCTAACCATCTTCCACAATTTTCTAGTATTGAAAATTTACCAAACACATTACATGATGATATTAATTTTGCTGATGAGGATATTTATAATGTCAGTGACAATCAACTAACAGATAATTCAGACTCTGAGGAAATTAACAGCAATTATGAAGACAATATTAATGTAGGAAGTTTATTGGAATTATCAAAACTATGCCATACATCTGGATTGAAAGAAGTTTTTCCAAATCTGTATACAGCACTTCATATTGCAACCACATTACCTGTTACAAGTGCCTCACCAGAACGTACCTTTTCAAAACTTAAAATCGTCAAAAACCGACTACGTAGTACAATGGCACAAAGCAGACTTGAAAATTTAATGGTTATTTCATGTGAAAATATTATAGTAAGTAACTCAGATGTAATTGAAAAGTTCGGATCTTATCTTCTAAATTATTATAATATGTATTAACTTAAAATTATTATGTATATATAATTCATTTATATTTTGTATTTTTCTTTTTCGTAAATTGTAATTAATTTTTATGATGTGAAATATTTTCATTAAATTTAAACTATTTAAAAATTATTAGACTGGTTATAATTTGATCGGTAATTAATAAATAAACATTGAAATAGAATATTCAATTGAAATACAAGACGACTACTACAAAACAAAACTTATATTTTATATTAAGTACTATAAAATACATATAAAATTGTATATCTATCATATCTATGCATGAAAAACAAATTGTTTTGAGGTTGGTGAAATAAAAGTGGTGGGTGGGTAATTCAAGAATTTGAACTGCCTGTTATAACATCACTCGGCGCCACTGCGACTATCTAACAGCCAATACTTAAACACCTACACGCCTACGCTAGTGATTTGTGATGAGTGACTACATATTTTGACGGTAGATGACGGAAGACGGACGATGCCTGTTAAGTGTGAATAGTTGGATGATTTGTCGTGCCGTTACGTGCTGTGACTGTACGTGCCGTGCCGTAACAGTGTGAATCGGGCTTTATTCAAAATAGTTTCGGTGTTTATCTGATTGAATAAATCTTTTTTAATATTCAACAAAGATAAATAACAAATTATATTATACGACCAAACAGTTATACATTTTTCAGGAAATTTCCTATCATTGAAAAACATAAAATTCATAATATTAGGTATCTATTAAAATAATAATGAACATTGGTCTTTCTATGTTTGTTATGTACCTATTTATTGAATAGTTTATGTTTGTAATTTCTGTAAATTAAATTGTAAATAAAAATCTATAGTGTTGTTAAAAAAATTAAATAGAAATTTATAAATTTGTTTCCTAAAAATAATTGTTTAAATTATCTTATTTCATAAATTGTAACAATAAAATTAAATAATAGTTTATTACTTAATTACAATAATACATTTTGATTACATCACAGTGTTTAGGAGGAAATAATATGAACAATTAAATAATTTAATAAGATTTATTTTTAATTATACATAGGTATAGCTCTAATTTATCAAATTGTGAGTTCACATCAAATTAATTTACGATTTTTAWATACACATAACTTGCTACAAAATTGAACTACCGTAAAAACAACCCACATACAAACACAGATAATGTTCTTAACATCAAGTTTCATAAAGGTTCCGTTCTCTACCCATTTTAACTCTTTTTTTAGATGTACGTTGATTACTACTAATATCATCACTCAGTGGCGCCGAACTAATTTTTTTTAGGTGTGGCAATGGACATTAATTTATACCCACCCACCTACCTAAGCGCTTTGAAACCTAAGCCGTGGGGGGCTAAGCCCCCCAC